TGTTGTAATATTTTCAGCCATTAGAAATTGGGCTATTTCAAATGTCCATCAGCAAGTTCTTTTATTTTTCTTTAAAAAATATATCTAGCAAAAATCAGGCTATTTTTCTCCACACACTATTTTATGTCTTTAGCAAAAAAAATCTAGTTCATTTTTAAGCTGGTAATTTAATGACATATCAGAACTGTAATTAACAAAATATGACTCGTAGCTTGCAAGCATAAAGTTTAAGACCTGAAAATAAGCTTACAGATGAAGGTCTATATTATTTGTTCTGTAATTAATATCTACCCAATAGTGTAGTGCCTGATCTGTGCTTACAGATGAAGGTTTATTCTATTTGTTCTGTAAATAATATCTACCCAATAGTGTAGTGCCTGATCTGTGCTTACAGATGAAGGTCTATACTATTTGGTCTGTAATATCTACCCAATAGTGTAGTGCTTGATCTGTGCTTACAGATGAAGGTCTATACTATTTGTTCTGTAATTAATATCTACCAAATAGTGTAGTGCCTGATCTGTGCTTACAGATGAAGGTCTATACTATTTGGTCTGTAATTAATATCTACCCAATAGTATAGTGCCTGATCTGTTCTTACAGATGAAGGTCTATACTATTTGTTCTGTAATTAATATCTACCCAAAAGTGTAGTGCCTGATCTGTGCTTACAGATGAAGGTCTATACTATTTGTTCTGTAATTAATAATCTACCCAATAGTGTGGTGCCTGATCTGTGCTTACAGATGAAGGTCTATACTATTTGTTCTGTAATTAATATCTACCCAGTAGTGTTGTGCCTGATCTGTGCTTACAGATGAAGGTCTATACTATTTGTTCTGTAAATAATATCTACCCAGTAGTGTAGTGCCTGATCTGTGCTTACAGATAAAGGTCTATACTATTTGTTCTGTAATTAATATCTACCCAATAGTGTAGTGCCTGATCTGTGCTTACAGATAAAGGTCTATACTATTTGTTCTGTAATTAATATCTACCCAATAGTGTAGTGCCTGATCTGTGCTTACAGATGAAGGTCTATACTATTTGTTCTGTAATTAATATCTACGCAATAGTGTTGTGCCTGATCTGTGCTTACAGATGAAGGTCTATACTATTTGTTCTGTAATTAATATCTACCCAATAGTGTAGTGCCTGATCTGTGCTTACAGATGAAGGTCTATACTATTTGTTCTGTAATTAATATCTACCCAAAAGTGTAGTGCCTGATCTGTGCTTACAGATGAAGGTCTATACTATTTGTTCTGTAATTAATAATCTACCCAATAGTGTGGTGCCTGATCTGTGCTTACAGATGAAGGTCTATTCTATTTGTTCTGTAATTAATATCTACCCAATAGTGTAGTGCCTGATCTGTGCTTACAGATGAAGGTCTATACTATTTGTTCTGTAATTAATATCTACCCAATAGTGTGGTGCCTGATCTGTGCTTACAGATGAAGGTCTATACTATTTGTTCTGTAATTAATATCTACCCAGTAGTGTTGTGCCTAATCTGTGACTGCCTAAATGTTAATTAATATGATAATATGGTGGTGGTGGTGTGTGGTATGTATTCCAGGGCCAGAAGCGTCTTTGGATATTCATTTGAAAATTATGGATGAAATAAATTTTTTCTTTATTTCTTCTTGGTTGAATTGAAATATATTTCAAACAGTGTTAATGTTCTTATCTGAGCACATTTAGGGGAAACATTTCTTGTGACTATGATTAGTCTCTTATGGCGGCATTGACACATCATGAAACAAAAAAAAAATCAATGCATAAATTTGGATCTTATTTTTATTATTAAATACATTAATAATATTTTGATAGATCTTTATGGTTAATCTGTGATTAGGGCTTCACTGGCTGATTTGGTCTTTCCATGGTAATCAACACAGTCTAGGCATGGATATACTTGAGTAACATTTTTATTTAAATACACAACACCAAATCAATATGGATACGCTTGAGTAACTTTTTTTAATTTAAATATACCACACCGTATTATTCTTGTATAATTCACTTTAGAAAGAATTACTACATGCATGATATGCTGTTCCAATGTACTTGACAGTACACTGATATAACTAGCACCGCATTGTCTGTAATCTCTTTTAGAGTTTTATATGTATTGCTTTTTTCAATAATGTTCTTCATAGTGGGTCTTGGAAAAGTATGGAATTAAAAGGGAAACTATGACAAATTAATGACCAGTAAACACAGCAATTTTCTGAAGAAAAAAAAAAAACTTATTGAGAAAGAATATCAAACTTGTTGCTTGATGCAAAACAGTATTAAATTTCCACTTTTGTAAACACTTATATGTACATGTAATCAAATAAAAGAGACATAGGTTGTAGCAAAGAAATATTTTCTGATGTATGCTCCCTTATCCAAGAAATTTAAAACCTTTTATTTTATTCTACTTTATGCATGTTCATCTTTATGTATCTCTAGCTCCACCAATGGTAAGAACCACAAGAAATATCATCATTGTATACTTTGTAAAGATAATGTCTAAAATATAAAAAAATGTATAAAACTAACACCTGCCTGTGTAGGATCTATGGTATTAGTGTTTCCTCCAAATCTTTAATTAGTGTGGTGTCAGGCAGTGGCAGTGGGATTACAGTAGAATTGGTGAGGGGTGCAATTAAACTAACTGCTGCTGCTATAAAGTCTTTGATTGGACCTCACTAGATCTGAGTGGATTTCAACTACACTTAGGTGAAATCCACCAGACTGAGTAGATTTCAACTACACTGGGGTGAAATCCACCAGGCTTTGTAGATTTCAACTACACTGGGGTGAAATCCACCAGGCTGAGTGGAGTTACTCCTGTCCCTCTGTCCACATACTATTGACTGAGTGGGATGCAGGTACTGTTAACCATTTGTGATGAACAATGAAATAAAGGCAAGTCTGTCGACTACAATATATGCATCGATAGGGAAATTTAAGGAAATTTAAAACTAATAAACTTGCATAATTAAATTTGAATCACTAATGTCATATGCTAGGGTAAAGAAAAAAATGTCAAGCCAAACACAAAAGATGTGTACAGAACAAATGCTGATTAACTCTCAGGACAGCATAATTAACAGGATAAAACACTATCAGAGTAGGATCCTAACATTTATGAAGAATATGGGAACAAGGGAGATAGTCCACAAGCTTGTTGATCCATGAAGCAACAGCTAATCCATGATATAGACAATGTAGATTCTACAGCATGTCAACCAATAAAGAATAGATGGGCAGTACACATGGGCAAGTATGTGCTGTGTTTCTCCAGAGATAATTTATTGCTCTGGAATCTTTTTGTTCACCATAATGAGAGAACAAATTATCATATGGTCTGAGTATTTTTATACCATAAAAGTACCAATATGCATTCACTTGTACAATATTACTGATATTAAAACATTTTTATTTTATATTGCACAGTGCATTAATATCACTATGATGTAGCACTTGACTGAATAAGATCACACAAGACCAATTTTATATAGGACTCAACAGACTTAATACATTCTTAATACAAGAATGTATTAAGGACAATTAGAAATATTTTCCTGCATTAGGTGTAGGGCAATATCTAGAACAGAATTATATACCTGAATCTCACCTTTCACAGTAGGTAATATCTTACAATCAGCAAGGTGGATTTCCTGTTTCACTATCTCATATCTCATAAGTTTGGAAATATGATAAATCTAGTGGTTTGATAAGAGCTATTGCTATTACTAAATAAATTTGTCTATCCCTAATTTTTACACTACCAACAGAACTTTGTAAAATGAATGCCCTATGACAAGAACATGCTTAGCATATTTATGCATGTATAATGAAAATAAGGTCACAGTGACACATATACATGAAATGTGTCAGCAGAGAAGGGTCCATGTAGTTAGTTCTACAATTAACATCTGTTCAAAGGTATAGAATTAGATTTGTTACTGCCAAAACACAGATAAATATAATATTACCTACCATCATGAGTGGTTGTATGTGTGTATGCATATGTTCAAGTGGAATGTTATGGAATCTTAAAAGTCTGATTGCTGAAGATGAGTGAGTTTAAAAAGAGGTGATCTTGCAACAAGGTTTGCAAATACAAAAAATAAACCCCAACATTTTATTCAATATCAGTTTTTTATACATGAACAGATCAAATGTGTTACAAAAAGTAAATGACCTCAAATGATCGACCGAATCTCTTCATAAATTCATTTTCTTGGGCAGAATGGGTGGTCTCCCATCAAAGAGCATAACTTTATTAAGCATAAATACATCCAAATGTGTGTGTATGTGAGTGTTTAAGAGAGAGAAAGATTTGGATTTTTTGTGTAGCTTTAAAAATATTTCAGTTGTATTGCTACAATGTCTGCACTGTGGCAGTTTATAGTGATATCTAGCAATGGGGCATCATTCCACAGACATGTAGTGTGATGTCCCATCTCGTCTCATTATCCAGGCACCAGGCCGACCAGTCCAAACACTAACCTCTTAATGTGGAGTGCCAAATGAGATAACTGTTTGTACCATTTTTATAATTCTTGGGTATGACTCAACTAGGGTATGAACCTGCAACCTCCATCATCCAAAGCAGATGTACCACCCGAATGGTACATCCAATTTATGATTAAGTATGATTGCAATCTGAATGCATGGTAATGGAAGCCCTGTAAAAGCTGGGGAATGTTAGAGGGCACTACACTCTCTCCATCCCATCATGAATGTATATTCTGATGTGATTATGATTTTTAACGTAGCTTTTAACAACATATCGTAGCTTTTAACAACATATCGCTATGATGTCTGCAGTGTTGCAGATTATGTCTAGCACTGGGACATCATACCATGGACATGTTGCATGATGTCCCACCCAGTCACATTATCCTGACACCAGGCTGACCAGTCCTAACACTAACCTCTTAATGCTTAGCATCAATCAAGTCAGCTGTTAGTACCATTTTTGTAAGTCTTTCATATGACTTGACCAGGGATTGAACCCTCAACCTCCTGCATCCAAAGCAGATGCCCTAACCACTGGGCCACCAAAGCGTTTGCGTATATTCTGCCTTCAATACCTTTATTTCAAAAGATTACACCTAAAATAATAATGCATAACTGTTAAATGCATACTTTAATCATTATACTGAATACTGTGAAAACATACAGACTGAATCAAACTACTCTTAAAAAAGTGGTAAAAAATATACATACCTGATATAAGATCACCTGATAAAAATGCAAAGGTATCAATGACATCAAAGCTCATGCCGATATTTTTACCAAATCTGATTATTATCAGGGCAAAAATCATAAGGAACATCACCAATCACAAAATCACCTCATTCATTTTCCCTGAACATTCTTTTTAATTTTTGCCTTAAAGAGGGTTAGGAAATGTATTTTGAAAGTTACATCTAATTGCATTTAAACATCTCTTTCCCAGTGATTTTTATTTTGCTGCATGCTTTGGGGTACTGAAGATGTTTTAAATTGGCTATTTCGCCTACACATGTGCTGAATTATGAAAATGATAATTTTTCTTTTTTTTAATTATTAAACCAACAACTTTCATGTCCTGTTCTCTTTTTGCTCCATATTCAAACCTATCCTATTTTTCGAACATTGCAACTAATGTGTGCACATCAGACTAATCTGCCTTGGTTCTTATGTAAAAAAAAGTCTCAAATCTGGATACAGACACCATTTCTAAAACTGATATTTCATTGCAGAACTACCTATTTCTTCCCTTTCTGAAATGCCTGCTTTGATGTACCATAAAGTTGATGTTAAAGAACTAAGAACATGCCTGCTACAGGGACATGGAAGTGTGGTATACAGATGGTATTGTTCTGAGAAGTTCATGGAAAATGGAAAATCACTTTTTTAATATGCACTGATTTTATTCATCCAAGACCTTTATAATTTAAGTTTATTAACTAAGGTGATCCAAGTTTTATCAGGAATAGTGTCTAGAGTGGTCACAAGCTGATCCAGGAGTATGCAAGCTCACCACATTAATTAAAAAGCACAGATCAAGCCCATTATAGAACTTATCCAAGTTTTTCATGCTAAAACCCTTATATTTGAAGTTTGATCAAAATCTGATATAAATATGACTTACAAATTGGTTACAAGCTCAAAACAATCAGATGAAAAATCACCTCATTAATTAGTGGATCCCTAAAAGTTTTGAAACTGTCCAAAAGTCTTGATGATACAAGCCCATATTCAGACTTCAATCACTTTTTAATCTGAATTGTGGCTTCCAGATGGTAACAAGCCCAACCAATCAAATGCAAGATCACCTCAATAATATGCATAATCTTACTCAATACTGAATGCATTTAATATCTTGACAAGATAAGGATAGATTTTAAGTCTGATCAAAAATGAATAAGAAATAAGGCTTCCAGAGTGGTAAGAAGACCAGACAAACAGGTCCATAATAATCCTAATTTGTATGCACAAATCATGATAATTACTGAAACTCGGCCAGGGGAGTTAAAAACTTCTACAAACTATTGAAGCTATTTTTGATATTAGCAAATGCAGTAAGAGGAAATTTACTAAGTAACCAATGTATCTATCTAACCACTCCTGAATATTTACAGATGAATCTTAAAAGAGTATGTAAAAGCCAATAACATCTGCATGTGCTTCTTGTATTATGCTATTTAAGTGTTCAATGTATCATATTGTGCCAACATCACCTTGCAGTGACACACATTAAGAGTATTTGCTTGTATGGGTTTAACACCATTTTCAGCACATAATAGGCTATACATGGCACACAGTATATTTGGTAGAGGAAAAATGTGGGAAGACTCCGAAAGAACCAATTAACAGGAAGTTACAATGCATGTGAAGGACATAAAAATACCTATATATACTGTATATGACACTGATATTATATATATCTGTTTATAATGTACACCCAAAAGCCAACTACATACACCCACTGTGCCACTGCTTAATACACTTGCAGTTCATAAGTTTTACACAAATATCCAACAGGCCTTGAAGACATTCAAACTATACTACCTTTTCTGCAAGAAAAGAGTCAATAAAGTGTACGATTTTTTGCTGAGACTGTAGAAAAAGAACACTTGTACTTTCCCATTCTACACTTGACTAGCAAGTGGATTTTTCAAGCCCTGCACATAACACGATCAAGGCTACTAACACCAACAATTATGGTGGTTTCATATGAAAAAAGCTAGCATAGTCTGATGATTTACCATGACCAATCATAAAACTGAAAATGTGTGATAGGTACAGGATTTAAGTAACAAATTTTCCACAGACCATCTGAATAATAAGGATATATTTGGACACAGGACGTTTCGCCCCACATCAAAGGACATTTAATTTCATGCTCCTCACCCACCCACCCCTTTTAGAAATTGATCGCCATTATAGTACACAATTGTTCCTACACAGCTGAGTGAGGATACATTATATATATATATATATATATATATATATATATATATATATATATATATATATATATATATATATATACACACACACACACATACATCTTAGCACCAAGTGCATGCCATTTGTTTAAATAAACAATTATGTTTTGAACTCATGTGGACTTATTTTAAACAATTATATCAGAATTGTAAATCTAACAAAACAGATAACTTAAACTCTTTTATTGCAAATGAGCATCGAGGAAATGAATTTTTAAAAAAAAGAAGAAAATCAGATAGTTACTGTTTAGAAGTATGCTGTTGTACATCATAATTTGACACTTCTACCATGTCATAAGCTGTAATTTTGATTAGTGATGTGTGTTGATTTAAACATGCAAATATGTGCTTAATATTTTTTAAAAATTAAATATGTGAAACCAGTTTTTATATATATTTACCTTCAAGTACAATTTTCATTCCTCACCCCTCATTCAGCCAGATCACTGAAAGTAGTCACTCTAGCAAGTACAAGATTGAGACGATGAAACACTATTTTGAGTATAACTAAGATTTAGGTGTATATTTAAAAAATTAACACGAAACATATCTTGAATTCAAACAATTAATGAAAATGAAATTCTCCAATGCTTGCCATTTGAAAAGAGGCAATTTTCATAATAATATTATGTTCAAAATAATATTAAATTTGGACACGTGGTACCACCCTTGTGTTTTCATGGCTTATGATATGTTGGGCTATTCTGTGCACAGCTGTGAAAAGATGTAACTAAGCCAATCTTGTAAAAACATTAGTAATATTCCGCATTTAAAAAAAAAAAAAAAAAAAAAAGCTATTATGTGAAAGTGAAACAACAATGAATAGAATTAACCCATTCTATCCTGAGAAGCAATTCTAAATACACTGTGGTAAAACAGCATCACACAGCAGCAGCAGAAGAAATTGTGATGACCTTCCCCATGTTTACAAAAAATGTTGTAACATTGTTATTTATTTTTTAAAGTATATAAAACTATGTATCTCTGAAAAGGTAATAAAATTGGCAACACAGTGATATATGTTTTGTTAAAATTTACTGATGTACAAGCTCACAACTGTATTTTGAAATAGGGCTTTAAAAAAAAAATAAAAAAAAATTACCATGAACTTCAGTGAATCTTTTCTCCATGAAGATGAATGCTCCAAATAGCATGGGAATAAAATAAAGATACTTCTATTTCTAATATTTTGGTCCAAATTTAAAGTTTATAGCACTGTTAGTTCAAACGTTATAATAATTTTACCAAAACTGCACAACTAAATACTAGGAACAATTTGCTGAGTTCACAATTTAAAACATGTACTTCAGCCTGCAGTTTCTTGGAAGAAAAAAAACCAACAAATTTACAAGTTCTTTGTCTGCGTCTTCATCACTAAATCAGTTGAATTTGATAATTTATAAAAATTAATGGCTTCCTACCTCAGTCTCAGAGCCTTTACCTAAGTTATTGAAGCTTTCATTGTTGTGATTCTACTGGGTCAAGTACTGAACACCATTTTGTTGAAAGGAGAATACAACCCAGTTATGACCTACTTACTTTAAATAGCAGTTTGCAACCAGAGCATCAAGAGTGACCACATGATCTGACATAATGATCATTCTCACCAATGAATGTAGTATCTAATAAGGGGTTTTCCCAAAGATGGCGCTAGGAAAACCTGCTCAAAATAGCTGCTCTTTACAGAGTTGCTGAAAGTCGAAAGGAGCTTATATTGATATTGGTAAAGTGCCAAAAAGCCTGTATGGTACATCAGCAGAGGGCCAAAAGGCGCTTATATTAGGTAAATGGTTAAAGTACAATCTTAATATAAAATGGATTGTTGTTTTACCCAAAATAATATGTGATACAATGTTTACAGAAATGATGCATCATTGCGCAGAATTACACAACGCGCAGAATTGGCCCACTTGGTATTCTAGTCCTGTTCATTTTCTAAATATTATTTCAATTTTTTTCTTCAAGTAATTGACGGGTAATGCTTGTTGCATACTTTTGTGCAAAGAAATACATCGTAATTGCCATAATGTCTGTGTTTATCTGATATCCGGGGACCACAAGTCTTTAATCATCCTAGTTTTTATAGGTTTCTGAAAGGAATAAATACAATTCCTCAATATATACAATCTTGATATTGACTGTTAAAATTACACCCCCCCCAAAAGATCAAATAACTTTCAACATTATCAATCCAAAAATCTACAAAACATCGCACAATTTGTAAATATTTACAATAACCAAAGTAAAATGAAGACAATGGTGTAATGCTGATGAATTTCTATAAATGTCCGATATTTCCATTGATGTGGGGCGAAATGTCCTGGGCCAAAACATCCACGGGGCGAAATGTCCAGGTACCAAAAATTCATATTATAAAAGCAGAAATCCATACCATACCATCATTTTTTAAGTAATTTTGAAAAAAAAACTCTGCAAAATATATTACTACGGAAAAAAGTTAATTACTGTCTGGCAAAAAAAACAGCAAAATTATAAAGCCAAAAGGTTTTATTCTGGAATCCCTGATTTAAAATTTGTTGCTGTCTGTACAGCTATGATTATCAACTA